TGGGCCCTACGCAAACAAGATGAGAACGCCATTCAGGTCTCCCAAAGAAGAATAGAAAGAGCTATGCTTGGAATAACACGTTTCACTCAAATGAGAGAACGAATCCGGAGTTCTGACATCTGTCGACGATCAAGGATCAGGGACGCTGTCTCATATGCCAAGGTGTCGAAAATCAGATGGGCTGGTCACGTAATGAGATTTAAAGACGACCGTTGGACTAGAGCTGTTACTGATTGGATTCCACGGGATGTCAAGAGACCGCGTGGCCGCCCAACTACCAGATGGTCAGACTTCTTTGTCAAGATCATGAACGATCGGTTTGAGGCCCTCCATGTTCCCGGAGCGAAGAGATGCCATTGGGCTACACTAGCACGCGACAGGGACAAATGGAGACGTTACTGGCGCCCGCTCGAGCAAATCAACGACTAACGGGAAGTTAAGTGAAGTGATTAAGTGATGAGAATTGTCCATACTGTTTTCCAAAAGGGTTGAACCAGTCGACATTCCCACCAGCAGTGGAGGAGGATCCCTTTCTCGCCACATCCATGCCAGCACCGGTTGCTTTTGTTCTTTTGGATGTAGGCCAGTCTCTGTGGTGTGAAATGATATTTCATTGTTGTTTTGATCTGCATATCCCTGATGATTAATGATGTAGAACATTTTCTCATGTGCCTTTTAGCCATTCGGATTTCTTCTTTGAGAAAGTTTCTGTTCATTTCATCGCCCCATTTTTTGATGGGGTTGGTTGTTTTCTTCTTGTGGAGTTCAACCAGTACCTTGTATATCCTTGATATCAACCCCTTGTCGGATGTGTATTAGAAGAATATCCTTTCCCATTCTGTAGACTGTCTTTGTATTTTGGTCACTGTTTCTTTGGAGGTGCAGAAGCTTCTTAGTTTAAGATAGTCCCATTTGTCTATCTCTGTTTTCACTTGCTTGGCCAGTGGCGTGGCATCTTTGAAGATACCATTAGCTTCAATGTCATGGAGGGTTTTGCCAACTTTGTCTTCATACCTTATGGATTCCGGTCTGATGTTGAGGTCATAAATCCATTTTGATCTTACTTTTGTGCATGGCATTAGGCAGAGATCTGAGCCCACTTTTTTGCATGTAGCTGTATAGTTTTGCCAGCACAATTTGTTAAAGAGGCTTTCCCTGCTCCACTTCACTTTTCTTGCCCCCTTATCGAAGATTAGATGATCATATGGTTGGGGGGAGATGTCAGTATATTCAACCTTGTTCCATTGGTCTACAGCTCTGCCTTTGTTCCAGTACCATGCTGTTTTGATTATTACTGCTTTGTAGTAGAGCTTGAAGTTAGGGAGGTTGATTCCTCCCATTTTCTTTTTCCCAAGAATTGCTTTAGCTATTCGTGGGGGGGCTCATTGTTCCATATAAATTTCAGGAGTGTTTGCTCCATTTCTTTGAAGAATGTCATGGGTATCATAATAGGGCTCGCATTTGAATTTGTACAGTGCTTTGGGAAGTATTGCCATTTTGACAATGTTAATTCTCCCCATCCATGAGCAGGGGATATTTTTCCATTTCCTCGTGTCCTCTTTTATTTCCTGAAGTAGTGTTTTGTAGTTTTCTTTGTACAGGTCCTTTACTTCCTTAGTTAAGCTGATTCCTAGGTACTTGATTTTCTGGAGCACAATTGTGAACGGGATTGTTTTCTTCATGTCACTTTCTTCTCTTTCACTATTTGCGTATAGGAAAGCCATGGATTTTTGGGTATTGATTTTATAGCCTGTCACTTTACTATACAAGTCTATTGTTTCTAGGAGTTTCTTGGTAGAGGTTTTAGGGTTCTCTAAGTATAGTATCGTATCATCTGCAAATAGTGAGAGCTTGATTTCTTCCTTCCCTACCTGGATGCCCTTAATATTTTTTTCTTGCCTAATCGCTATTGCAAGTACTTCCAGTCTTAGTACTTTTTTATTAATAAATTAATCCATTTCCTCAATGCTGCCCTGTGCATGAAAGTCACATTCTGGGACTGGAGCAATAGCATAGCAGGTAGGGCGTTTGCCTTGCATGTGGCTGACCCGGGTTCGATTCCCAGCATCCCATATGGTCCCCTGAGCACCGCCAGGGGTAATTCCTGAGTGCAGAGCCAGGAGTAACCCCTGTGCATCACCAGGTATGACCAAAAAAGCAAAAAAAAAAAAAAAAGAAAGAAGAAAGTCACATTCTTTCACATCTTTGTGAATGACTTCAGGATCTATGGTGACATCCTTCTTCCTTTATGATACTGATCATTGGTGCCCCGTCTCTGTTTTGGTTTATTTGGCGGGGGGAGTCACACTCAGCAGTGCTCAAGAGCTACTCCTGATTCTGTGCATGGGGGTGACTCCCAACAGTGCCATGTGGTGCTGGGGATTGAGATGGGGCCTCCCAGAGCAGAGCCTACACTCACTCCTTAGGGCTTTCTGCCGGAGCCATCTATCTCGATATCTTTGTTAGTGTTTTCAGGTGTTTATTAGTTTTAATGATTTTTTTCAAAACTTTGTTTTATTAGTTTTCAATCCTTTCTCTCTTTCATCTCACTGATTTCTTCCCTTCCTTCTCATCATGGTTGCCTTTCTTCACTCATTTCTGCATTTGAAACATATGTCTCAGCCTTCTGAGGCCTCTGGTTCCTGAAAAGAAACTGGTGTTCCCCAGTTTGGTGTTCCTTGTAGTTAATACATAACTTCTTTCTGACTAAGTTTTACTGCTTTTAGTTAGCAGGAGTTTAATGATATGTCTCTGTATGGATTTCTTCAGTTCATCAATCAGGCATTCACCTCGTTTCTTGAATCTGTACATTTCTGTCCTTTGCCAAATTGAGGATTTTTTAGCCATTATTTCTTCAACCCAGGCACTTTTGAAGCCCATTTTCAGTTAGCAGAAGATTGCTAGCAAGGATTACAAGGTCCCTGACAATATACTAAAGGCTGTGAAAGTCCTTTTTTCATGTTTTGGGGCCACATCCTCCTGGCAGTGCGCAGACAACCTCACGGGGTGCTGGGGATTGAACCTGTGTTGGTTGTGTATAAGACAAGTGCCTTACCCACTATGCTATCTCTCCAGCCCTGATAATCCATTTTAATAAAAGAGAATGTTCACAAATCCCTTACAAGAGTTTCAAAAGCCTCCATAGCACTTCCACCAAATTTTGTTAAAACATGGGCGTATGCCCTTATTGGATTATTTCTGGCCTTTTTTTTTTTTTGGTTAAAATTACAACAAAAACCGAATTTGTATCCTTTCCTTCCTTCTAACATCACTGTTGAACTCCTGTGTCCCAAGGATTTCGCCAACAGTTTGAGAAACATGAGCCCTACTTAGATGAACAATTTCTGTCTAATATGTGCCAGACTATTTTTGCCCCAGTTTTTCCTAGTCAGTGAAAAAGGGAAGAGTTAAAAAAAAAAACTAGAAACATTTTTAAGTTAATCTAACCCCTGTAGGTTTCAATACTCTGGTGCTTGGGAATGCTTCCATAGAATTTGTTTAATTTGAAATGTTAGTCATAATTTATGGGCTGTATTAGTTTGCTAGGCTGCCAAAATGAGAACGAAAATAAAATAAAGTCATTTTTTAGTTTATGGAGAGTGCAGAGGAACTAAGCATTCAAAGTAAACGTTGCTGTTTTCACATCTGTGACTTCACCCTTTTAAATCTGTTTCTGGCTGCTCTGAGCTGGATATGCCAACAATCAATTACTCCTGAACATATAATCTCAGACCCTACAAACATGGCTTTATGCAGCAGGCCGCACTTGGCAGCATTATACGTTGCTTTGTGCAGTTGGCAGCTGAGACCTCAGCGAGCCCCAAGGCAGACTTGTCCCTGGGCAGGGGCTCAAGCTGACCCTCTTCTGCCTGGCTTTCCCTTGGCCCTCTTTGCCCTGGACCTTAACAGGCTGACTCATTCTTACCTTCAGTTCGGAAGCATTCCTTCCCTCTCTTCTGAACGCTGAGTTGCGTGTCCTCCAATGTCACCTCAGCTTTTCATGTGCCTCACTGCACGCCGATGACCTGAGTGTCACTCCTGCCAGAATGTGAGACCTTGATGACCAGGCACACTGAGTTGTTTTTCCGTCCTCCCAGAACACTAACAAATATAAACAGGTGGACTTCAACGCGTCTTCCTTATGGTTTGCTGCCACTGGCTAACAGGTCGACCCTTTCTTCATGGCTGCCTCGATGTCCTGAGCCACCGTGAGCTCCCTCATCTCGGGGAGTGGTGAGCAGATGTTTAGTTCTTCCCCAGAAGGTGGAATTTTTCGTAAATTCTGCAAAGCATTTACTAATTCACTGAAGATGTTTTCCAAGAGTCACTATATGAAAGTAGTTGGCTGTCTTTTGATAGAAAGCCTGCCTCCCTCTATTTTTAGAAAATCTGAATGACACAGATTGCCACCATTTTCCTTTTTGATCTTACCAGGGAAGGTTTCCCTATCCTGGATAGGAGGAATCCCCTTAACGTTGGGTTTCTGCATACACATCTGAATTCCCCAGCCAACTCTGAGCTCCTTTTGGAGGGTGTGGAGGAGGAGGGGACTGGGAGTGTGTGTTATTTATTCCAGAGTCTCCAGGGATGGGTCCAGGATGGGATTCCATAAAGGGTGGGATGAAGTTTGAGATTAGACATCACAGCTTCTTGTTTCTCATGATAAATACAAGAATCACCTCTTCTCTACATTGTTATTATTATTATTATTTGCTTTTGGGGTAACACTTGGTGATGCACAGGGGTTACTCCTGGCTCATGCACTCAGGAATCACTCCTGGAAGTGCTCGGGGGACCATATGGGATGCTGGGAATCAAACCTGGCTCGGGCACGTGCACGGAAAATGCCCTACCCACTGTGCTATTGCTCCAACCCCTACCTCTTTATTTTAAAACCATTGCTCTTCCTTTCTTCTAAGCCCCCATGGATTCTTTTTTGGAAAGAAAGGAGTAGTTGACTGTGACACATTTTCAAGTCTTTTTGTCTTTACTCCTCCCAGGTACTACCTTGGTCGCCGGATGTTCATCGTTATATCTGACCCAGACTTCATCGGCCAGGTGCTGGTTGAGCAGTTCAGTAACTTTAACAACAGAATGGTACGTCTTTTTTTTTTTTTTTTGTTCTGTGTGGGGAGAAACTTCTAAGAGAAAGACATAAGAGGAAAAGTCTGCCGGGTTGTTATGGATATCATCAGGCCTCTCGTCAGTGTTAGATTGCTTTCACTCAATGTGGAACTCTCCCCTGAAATTATCTTTTCGAGAGAGGGCTGAAAGGGTGTCAAGATGGCATTTCCATCCAGGACATGTTGTAACTAAGAAAAATGCTAAAAGCAAGAAACTTCCTGAAAGCTTCAGTGAAAGTCGAAGGAATCGGAATGGCACCGTCAAGGGGCTGAGGAAACAGGAGGAGGAAATTACTCTCAGAGAGATGAAACATCACAGCCTCTAGGCTCACGCCTCCCAGGGAGTTGGAGTCTCAGTGACATAAAGAGAAAAGAGTGGCCCCAAGGGCAAGGTGGCCCCTGTTTATCAGCACAAGTCGCCAACCCACAAAAGGAAGTGTGTCCACCACCTGTTTCAGGAAGAATAGATCTTTCATCTCTGAGGAGATATGGGAGAGGAGACAGAAAAAGGTGACAGCAAATAGCACTCAGTGTTTGTCACTTTAGTTTTTAAAGGAAGAGAGAGAAATTCTAGCAGAGAACAAACTACCAAGTCCTTCCTCCCTAATCCTCCTTCTCTCCCTCCCTTTCTCCCTTCCTCCCTCCCTCCCTCCTCCCTCCCTCCTCCCTTCCTCCCTTCCTCCCTTCCCTCTTTCCCTCCCTCCCTCCTCCCTTCCTCCCTCCCTCCTTCCCTCTTTCCTTCCCTCCCTCCCTCCCTCCCTCCTCCCTCCCTCCCTTCCTCCCTCCCTCCCTCCTCCCTTCCTCCCTTCCTCCCTTCCCTCCTCCGTTCCTCCCTTCCCTCTTTCCTTCCCTCCTTCCCTCCCTCCCTCCCTTGTTTTGGGGCCACACCTAGTGGTGCTCAGGGATCACTCCTGATTCTGCACTCACCAGTCACTCCTGGCAGGGCTCAAAAGACCTTATGAGGTGTCAGGGATTAAACTAAGGTCAGCTGTATGCATGGCAAGCACCCTAACTACCGTACTATCTGTCCTACTATGTTTGTTTTGGGGCCACACCTGGTGATGCTCAGGGCTTACTGCTGGCTCTGCACCAAGGAGTCTCTCCTGGCGGTGTTCAGGGCACCATATGGGATGCCGGGGATGGAACTTGGGTTGACCACGTGCAAGGCAAGTGTCCTATCCACTGTGCTATCTCTCCAGCCCACCACATCTGCTTTTCTATGGACTTTTGATGATCTTTAAGCCATTGGCACATTTTATGATGAAATAATTGTGACTTCATTTTGGAAACACACAAATACACACATACACACCGCCATTCTTGGATTTGCATTTTTCTCATGGGTTTTAAAAGTCAAATCCAACTGGGTTCTGTGGTCCCCTCTCATCCATATGCTTATTTCTCCGCTGGAAGAATTCAGGGAGATTAGCGAGGCGTGATTTCTCCTGCAGCCGCCCTGCCTCTGATCAGCCATGTTTACTTAAGTGTTCAGCCATCGGCTTTATTATACATTCAGTCAGTAAACATTAAACGTTTCCTCTGTGCGAGCTCCTACATAATGGTCCCTGGTGAGACAGAAAAGACCTCAGCGGATTAGTTTGATGCAGTAAGTGAGAAGGAACTTAAATAATACAGGCTTCCCTTTGCCACACTGAGCTTCCTCTCGCATCCAGCTCGAGGGATGGAGTCCCTGGTGGGGCCTTGGGGGCACAGAGGCCCCGTGTAGGGAAGCAGCGTTGGCTCTGAAGTTTGGGGTGAGCTCCCAGTCTCTCTTGAGGGGTGCAGAGCAGGCGTCTGGAGTCTGTGTGTGGTTCCACACGCATCCCTCTCCCGCCCCATCAGTATTCAGAGCTGCCAAATGACATCAGACCCCAGGGCGCCTCCACTCACCTTTCCCTTCCTCATCCTGCGGCCATGTGCAGGGGGGCATCCCTCCCTCCATTGTGTCCTTCTTCCAAGGCGTAGGACCACCTTGGCACACCCTAAATTCCAAGTCTGTATTCTTCAAGGGGGGCAGGCAAGGAGATAGTTGAGTGGGTGGGGGACCTTGCCTGGCATACAGCTGACCTAGCTTTGATCCCTCACACCCGATAGGGTTCTCCGAGCCCTGCCAGGCGTCATCCCAGATCACAGAGCCAAGAGTAAGGCCTGAGCTCTGCTGAGTGTGACCCTCAAATTAAATAATATCCTTGGGGGTGAAGCTCAGTGCCCCCCACCCCCGCAGGGGCTAGGTGGGTTCTGTGTAGGTCACTTTAATGAGTTTCTCTTTCCTATCGGGCACTTGATGAACACACAGGGCAGCTTTTTGGGTCCCTTTTTACTGATTTTCACTTGTTCCCAATATTATAGTGTCTTGGAGGTTTCGCTCCACGCCACTGTGTGTGTGCCAGTGTCATCACTCACACCCTAGTGTCCCAGAGTCACTGCGTCTTCCTTCCTCCACTTCTTCCCAGTCATCACTGGGTTTTTCAGAGACTGGGAGAGATTTTGGGGGATGGGGGCCTCTCAAGCAGCACTCCAGCCCTGGAACCCTTCCGGGAAACATTCCGTCAACTGCGCAGTTCAGTGTGAGGGTCCGAGGATGTGCACACTTGCCCTGTTGGAACCTTTGCAGCTGGGTGGCCACAACCATGAGTTAAAAGTGTCAGGTACAGGGGCCGGAGAGATAGTCCAGTGGGTAGAGCGCCTGCCTTGCGCAGGTCTGATCTGAGTTCAATCCCAAGCAACCCATATGGTCTCCCAAGCCCCATCAGGAGTGACCCCTGAATGTAGAGCCAGGAGTGCTCAGGATTTACCCCGTGGCTCCAAGCTCAGCAATCATGGCTGGCAGGGCTCTGGGGAATATGTGAATGAACCCAGATCAGACATGTGCAAGGTAAGTTGTAGGTGTACAGTTGCACGCTGTACTATCACTCTGGTCCCTGAAAATGTGTTTCTTTTTCCTTTCTTTCTTTTTTAAAATTTAAATTTATATGTACATTAATTTAATCACAGTGAGATACAGTTACAAGTTGTTCGTGATTTGGTTTCAGTAATATAATGTTCCAATACCTGTACATATCCCAACACCAATGTCTCCAGTTTCCCACCCGACCCTCCCTCCACCTTTATGGTAGGCACTATTTCTTTCTTTCTTTCTTTCTTTCTTTCTTTCTTTCTTTCTTTCTTTCTTTCTTTCTTCCTTTCTTCTTTCTTTCTTTCTTTCTGTCTGTCTTTTCTTCTGTTCTCCTCCTCCTCCTCCTCCTCCTCCTCCTCCTCCTCCTCCTCCTCCTCCTCCTCTTCCATCCTCTTGGGCATTATAATATATCCTTTTACCTTTCAATACTCAGTTCCTGTCCAAAATGATCTTTTCCAACTATTACTGTTATACTGGTTCCTTCTCTATCCTAACTCCCTTTGCTCCCCTCCTTCATACATATGGCAAGATTCTAACCATTGACCAGTCCTCCTGGCCCATGTTTTCTCTGGCCTTGGATATTAATCTCATACTATTATATATCCCACAAATGAGTGCATACATCTATATCTGTCCCTCTCCTTTTTCTTTTTGATTTTAAATCACTTTATTTTTTTTTTAGACTTATAAATTTTTGTGCTTGGGTTTCAGTTATACAATGATCAAGTACCCATCCCTCCACCAGTGCCCATCCTCCACCACCACGGGTCCCAGCATCCCCCCCACCCCTCATCCCCCCTTCCCACCCTGCCTCTGTGGCAGGGCATTCCCCCTTGTTCTCTCTCTCTTCTTTTGGGTACTGTGTTTTGCAAGAGAGGCATTGAGTTGTCCCTCTCCTTTTGACTTATTTCACTCAGCATGATACTCTCCATGTCCATCCATTTATAAGCAAATTTCATGACTCATTTTTTCTAGGGGCTGCATCATATTCCATTGTGTAGATGCACCATAGTTTTTCTATCCAGTCATCTGTTCTTGGACACTTGTGTTGTTTCCAGATTCTGGCTATGGTGAATATTACTGCAATGAACACAGAAGTGCAGATGGCATTTCTGCTGTGTGGTTTTGGGCCTTCAGAGTCTATTCCCAGAGGCGGTTTTGCTGGAAAGAGCATTTTTAATGGTGGCCCCTGCCCTTGGCTTTATCACACCCTTCTTGAGGCTATGAGCAGTTACGCACTGCACTTAAGGCCAGACAAATGGGCCATGCTCATACCACGACCACAGCAACACCCTCATGTGCTCCAGAGTCTTGCCAGCTCCATTTCCATTTCCCTATTAGTGGCCCTCTGTGCAGCTCCATGAGGAAAACCATCATTTGATCTGGAGAGATCGGGCTCATCTGAGTCACTATTCTTGCTTGTACCAGGCCCCAAGAGAAAAACATTCGCCCTTCCCCAACTCCAAGCCCTTTTACCACAGGGGCGTGTGCATGTGAGGACATGGGTTGTGTGGCATGTTGTGTGGAAAGCTTTGGTGCGACCCCGGTGACTCCATGGTGACTCCATGGATTGGCACAGGTTGTGCTCGTGGCAAATTCCCAGCAATGGCTCTTTGCCTCCTGCCAGCCCACAATGCCAAAGTGTGTGTGTGTGTGTGTGTGTGTGTGTGTGTGTATGGCGGGGGGGGGGGGGTTCTTTCATGACATATACCTCGGGGCTGTGTCATTCTTCAAAGGTATAAGTTAAAGATTAGTGGCTGCTCAGAGTAGCCAAGATGTGGAAGTGGCCCAAGTGCCCGAGAACAGATGAGTGGCTAGAGACACTGGGGGTATGTACACCATAGAATGCTATTCAGTGGTAAGAAAACATGAGTCATGCAATTTGCAGCTATATGGGATATCCAGAGAGTATCATCCTCAGCGAAGTCAGTCAGAAGGAGAGGGACAGACAGAGGATGATCTCTCTTATAGGTGGGAATTTCAAGAAACATAGCAAGAACATAACAAATGGCCAAGGGCATCAGACATGATGCTTGGTCTACAGAACTAAGTTTATTGAGAAGGTTGACTGGGGGAGG